CAAAATCAACACCTGTCTTCGCCAAGACGTATTATCTAAATCAATAAAACCCACAAAGTTAAGTGGTCCAGCGATATATATTTTAGTATTTAGGACATGTCCTAATGTAGGTAGGAGCTCGGAAATGATAAGATAGTTATTCGTGTAAAAACTATAATGTTTATTTTAACTGATAATATCGATGATAAATTTTTGAGCTTTAAGTATTTGGTCTTCATCGATGATTATATAATAAATTTGGTACTATATTTGCTATCGACAAATGATTTCCTTATCAGTTTCATTTCAAAGGCTGAATGAGTGCCACTATTGGTTGCATTTTTTTTTTATTGCTTAGATATGCTCATAGCCCACTTGGTGTTAAGTGGTTACTGGAGCCCATAGACATCTACAACGTAAATGCGCCACACACCTTGAGATATAGTTCTAAGGTTCCCTTCAAACCGAAACACATTACTGCTTCACGGCAGAAATAGGCGGGGCGGTGGTACCTACCCGTGCGGACTCACAAGAGGTCCTACCAACAGTAATTACGCAAATTATAATTTTGCGGGTTTGATTTTTATTACACGATATTATTCCTTCACCGTGGAAGTCAATCGTGAACATTTGTTAAGTACGTATTTCATTAGAAAAATTGGTACCCGCTTGCGGGATTCGAACACCGGTGCATCGCTCGATACGAATGCACCGGACGTCGTATCCTTTAGGCCACGACGACTTCAAATATCCCAGTAGTAATAGAGTATACTAGATATTGGAATTATTCCCGGTACGTACGGATTATAGTAGTCGAGGCTCTAAATGAGACACCTTAATCTAATGTTCCTTGTAACCGCGCAATGTATTATAATAAAAAGCTAACTGTCGCACGCGGTCAGCTGTTTCATATGTTTTTGCTTACAATGCGTGCTTACAAATGTAAAGAATTAATTAGTGTTCCTCAGTGGTCGAAATTAGACCACAATCACTGACACTGCAAGATTCAGAATCATTTTATCATTTTGTGTGTAACTTTTTTGGCTGCTATTTCCAGTTTTACTATTGAAAATTCTATTGGCCAAAGAGGGAGTAAATAATACTAAACGTATTTTTCTTTGTCAAAATTTTCAACTTAGAAATTCAATAATGTTTTATGATATAACTAATGAACGCTAGCGAATAAAAATTTGTAATTTAAGGTCCAATTTTGTCTTCCCACAAAATCTATCATACGTCTTTTTGGTTCTGTACCCTTATTGAAAAGTTGAAACTAGTAAATTTACATAAAATCACAACTCGCATTTTGTCTATCTATTTAATTACCATAAAAAAAAACACGTTTTTGATCGTATTTAAACTAATCGTTTCTTCCACACACTTATTATATAACATGTCAACGTTCTAAGATAGAAATTTATTGGTTCCGTTATTTGGTTTGTCGCGTAAGAAACTTAATTCTTTATTCCAAAGTTTCACTGTCTTATAATGTCTGAGTATAATCTTATATTCCAATTAGATTTCGACCTCATGTTCCAATGTCTCAAGCTAAAACAAAAAAGGCTACGCTTCATTCAATTCAAACTCGTAAACTTTTGTGTAGTGCCAAACGAACAAAGCCAAAAACCGTGTGAAAACGTTTTATTATTCTGGGTGCATAATATGAACTGCATACGTCAACCCTGGGAGACGAGGACCATAACATAAAGACGGAAAATAAAATCAAAACTTTCCAATTATTTTACACTAGCTTTTGCCCGCGACTCCGTCCGCGTGGATTAGTTACTTTGGCATAACGCTAAATTTTACCCCCCACTTCATTTACGTAGAAAGTGAAAATATTTTTGAATTATAGAATATTAAGGAGCTATTTTAACCCCTATTTTGAAACCTTCTTTATTGGTGCTCCACTTGTATTGGTCTTAGCGTGGTGTTATATAGCCTATAGCCTTCCTGAATAAATGGGCTATCTAACATTGAAAGAATTTTTCAAATCGGACTAGTAGTTCCTGAGATTAGCGCGTTCAAAAACTCTTCCGCTTTATAATATTAGTATAGATTCGAAATGAATGCAGATCAGATGCATTTAGTTTAGTGACCGTAAATTGTCTCATCTCGATTTGGAGGTTTGAATAAATTAAAACTGTAAGCATAAAGGCTTACGTTAGAAAAACTAGTAAAAATGTGACGAGAATATTTTAATCACGCACACACACGACGTAATAGTGAGAAATTAATTCATGCCATCCTGTAGATAAAACAATATCATGTATCGCTTACTGACCACCCGTATTGAGCTCCAGAATGTGAAATACGATATTTATGATAACATCATATACTGTTACATAACATCCTAAAGAGAATAGAGGTGTGAAATAATCGTTAAGATGTTAGTGTATGCTGAAATGAAATTAGTATTATTTTTGTAGCAATTTTACGAATGAAACACCTCTTTATGAAGACTTACAGTCGATGAAATTTTACAGTTGAAGTGTTAAGCGGTTGTCGTAGCCCACAGACCCAACCTATAGAGACAATAAATTAAATTACCTAAGTTTATCGTTTTCGTATTCACGGACGACCGTAAATTATTCGAAATATGTACCTACATAAATATAAAATGAAAATAATTAACGCGTAATTTAAGAAAAGCAGTGTTCATTGTCTACGACCCGCGAAAACTGAAGAAAATATTGTACAGGCAATCCCAGTTTTTAGGTTAGCAAAAAAAGCGGGGTTGGAATGACCGCGTCACATGTTATGGCGCAGGATTCAATATATGTTTTTCCTACCTATTCTATTAACCTCGAGGGGTTATTCTAGATTCAGAGAAATAATAGGTGAGCTCGTGGGGCTCAAACCTGATGTTGCTAACACGAACTCTAGCAAGAGCCTGCTTCGCAGAATCCACCACCGGCTCGGAAACGCGACCCACTTAGAAGATCCGGCGAGAAACTCAGTGGGCTAACACAGGATTCAAACACTAGTACTACAAAAAAAACTATGCTCGCATTTATCTCAACTAAATATTACGATTATAACCTCTAGAAAATTTAAATCATAAATTCTAGAACAGATTAAATTTCATATTAAATTAAATCACTTGTAATTTAAATATGAATTTATTATGTACATTTCTAAGTGTGTAATGTTAGGTATTGTCACCGGCATACCGCGCCGTCCGTGACTCATGCGGTGTTACCATACTAAAAGACGAATTTAAAATAAGCCATTTAAAATGTAACTGTAGTATTTCTATTAATAATAAGAGACACATTATGTGCTAAATATTCAAATTTATTTTATAATTCCCAAGTGAAAGTTGTAAATATTTATTTTAAAATCGACGGTGAGCGCATAAGAAGTAGGAATTCTTTAATGTGCCTCGAGATAAAGATGTATTTTGAAATAAATTTTTTATAACGGGCGGTTCGCTCGGGGTGTTCCTTTCGAAACAAAGTAAACTTTATGCTTGAGACATTAGGTTCATTATAATTCAACGCTGAATATAGTTGTAGTGCCAACATAAGGATACCACACACGTAAACTAAACACTAAATTTCAAATAACCAGAATTAATTATATTTTCCACTAACTGTCCACCTAATATCAAGTGATTACCGGATTCCCTGAACATCTTGAAACATGAAGTTGCATGAAACTGAATATCGGGAATCCACTCTTCAAATAAAAACGTTAACCTATTGCAATGGATGAATGAAATAATGAGAAAAGAATGAGGACATTACATGTAGCCTGTTTTACCAATGCTGCGATTAACTGAATGGTACCACCACAAAAGTTCGATGGTTGGTTGGTATGGATTTGTTACCGTCTACTGAACAAAAAATCCCAAGTTTAATGCTTGGCTTCAACAGAAAATATTGTGTTTCTCGACAGAAATAAATCCACAATCACAAAACATTAAGGAAAACGTTTCATCCACTATAATTAATCCTATTACATATTAAAGTTTAATCTAGCGTCGATATATAGACGTATATCAACAACACCTTAGTCGTCCACGAAAACCGTTAAGAATTCGAAACGTCGGCAATAACATAATTACATTAAGAAACGCCAGATTAAACCCATAAAATTCGTTTTAATTACTCGTATGTCTAGAACTCCCGAAATCCGATGACAAAAAAAAAACGATATTTAAACACAAATTTAATTCCTGACAACCCCAAAATAAGTGAGCTGTTGAAATAATCTCATCGAGCGCACCCAGTACTGTGGTTTTACATACAATCACTATAATGTAATGAGAGCGTGGTCACACCAGACTGACATGCCGGTGATATGCCTTGTCATGCCCATTGTTCGGAGAAAAAACGCTATTCAGTGTTGTAAGAGCCAATGCTCACGAGAGAAATGCGCTCAGTCACCACTTGTCTTGCTGCAGTAACGCAAGAAGTGCCTCCATCAGCACTCGACTGAAAAATCAAGCGGTTAATTCCATTCCTATAATATACTGCCTAGCCGCGGTTTGTTGAGTTTTCTTCTAAGTATCTACTTCTAACTGCGTGATCTATAGTGAAAACGAGGCTCGTAATTAATTTTACATTTAAGTACATTTTCACCAATTATATTGATGTCTGTTCTCCCACATAAAGAGCGAAAAGGACAACAGCATCTACGATCGTAATACAGTCAAAATTGACACTTTGCAGTCACTTGTCTTACAAAAATCGACTAATTAGAATTTTTTTTTTAAATAAATTGAAATCGACTATGGCCGTGTTCTTTGAGACAAGCCGCAGTGGAATTAGATAATATGGTATTTGATATGGAATATTTATGAAGAAAACAGATATCTTTAAATGGACTATAAATTAAGTTACATTTCCTTTTATCGTAAAGTTCAAAATTGCATATCGTGTGTTTGCCTTTGAGAAAAATAAGTCGCAATAGGTTTTATTTAATTCTTTTGGCAGTATTTGTTAAACAACAAACTTAAGTGAAATTAGTTGTTCTCTTCTAAAACAGGTAATTAATTACTTGCATTTTCTTTCCAGATCCAAACGCACCCGATCTGCACGTGGAAACATTTAAGGAAGTGAATCAGGTGAGTCAAAGGAGATATTCAGTTCAATTGCTTTTACTTCGTAACGACCCTCTCACGGGTGAACGACCTAATGACATAAATGCACTAATGTCTCCGAAAGATTAGTTTTTTATCTATGTAAAGTATTCAAGTTATCAAGTTAAATGTTGAACCAAAACCTCAGAATACTACATAGACCTATATAGTAGGGACACGACATATTGTTCTATACGTACAATTGCTTATATAAATAGCACCCATTTTGAAGGCACACACATAAACATATATCTATCTCGTTCTTACTCAGCACTGTAACTGGCAGGAAAACAATTTAACAGTATTTCAGTGCGTATATAAAATGAAACTAGAATATACGTAAATGTCTAATGAGGCCGAAAATCCGCCATGTTTAGCGCACCAAATGTCATTGTCACGTCAATTCGGCCGTCTGTTTTGTGTTGTATAGGTTTCATACTTCAATGGTATAATAGCATAAGCCTCTGAGGTCCGTCTCTTCTAAATCAATTCTGACAGCTTACGTAATATGAACACGACATACTTAGCACACTCATTTAAAAGATGCTTTTTTTCTGAGCACATAAACTAAAGAATAAGAAAGTTATAGCTTCATACAAGAGAAAAATAAAGGTAATTTTTATAACTTTACGACATAAAATACATAACTACCCACCCTGAGGCTTTACGTCGATAGTTTAGATAATACGTAAATTATTATTTTTGAGTGATTATTTTTTATTCCACGATGCTATTCGTCCATCGTGGAAGTTATTCGTGAAGTACGTATTTCATTGGAAAAAATCGTACCAGTCTGCGAGATTTTTACTGATGGTAGGACCTCTTGTGAGTCCGCGCGCCGGTCATCGTTCTCGTCGAACCCGTCGCTTGCGACGAAGGGCTCGACGAGTAAATTAACCCACAGACACAGCCCACAGAGTTTCTCGCCGGATCTTCTCAGTGGGTCGCGTTTCCGATCCGGTGGTAGATTCTGCGAAGCACGGCCCTAGCTAGGGTTCGTGTTAGCAACGTCGTCAGGTTTGAGCCCCATACGCTCATCTACTAGTTAAGGTTACGCTGATATAGCCTCTCAAGGCTCTCAGATTAGGTAGTAAAAAAAAAAAGTCCGTGCGGGTAGGCACCACCACCCCGCCTATGTCTACCGTGAAGCAGTAATGCGTTTCGGTTTGAAGGGTGGGTCAACCGTTGTAACTATACTTGGGACCTTAGAACTTATATCTCAAAGTGGGTGGCGCATTTACGTCGTAGATGTCTATGGGCTCCAGTAACCACTTCACACCAGGTGCCCACTTGTGAGCTAGTACACCCATCTAAGCAATAAAAAAAATCTGAATACCTACATAGTAGCATCGATCGATTCAAGTACCTTGAGTGTCCACACTTGTCAATCTTACACGGGATATGTCGATGCCTCCAATGACACACTACTCTAACTCAAAATTTTGAAATTTTCGTTTTTCACGCAAATTTCGCTTCACTATTTTAAAAGTATTACAAATCATTATTGATGGGGTTCGAAGCAAGAGTAAATCAGCTAGTTACACGAGAAAAATCCATAAATATATCTGCAACAATAAAGGTTTTATCAACTTTTTTCGTTTAAGCGCTCCTCCTGTAAACCTACGAATTTGGAGTTAGCGTAGTGTTCATTGGAGGCATCGATGTATAAGATTGACAAGTATGAGAACACTACAACGTCACTTATTCCTAATTATGTCACTCCAGGATACCTCCAAGAGTCATTAAAAGAATCGATAAACTTGTTTTAGTCAAAACAAAATGAGTCACCAATAGTAATATCTCAAGAAGCCTGTGTAAAGATAACTCACATTCTTAGAACGACATTCCCTCGTAGTACCCGGACAATTCATGAATGGCGGTGCGTCACTCCCTGACTCAGAGTTCGCGGATTGCCCTCGTTTTTTTTTTTTAACATTAATAACTTTTCGAAACTTCAGGTAGTGAAGTCAAATATTTCCATCAATCGAAATTTGAAAATCAACTTTATTTGCATAACTTTAAAGCTTGTTTTCGATTATTCTGTAGGAGTTTGGTTTAAAAAAAATCCCAAATTTTGTTGTATATTGTTTAGAAGTTCGTTGTCGTTTATTTAATTATTTTACTGTTTTTGTTCTTTGTACTAAAATAGCTATGATAATATTATTGTTTTGCTTACCTATTGCTAGATGTGAGTGCACTAGTTCATTTACTGGTGATTGGAAGGAATAACTGCCATTAGATTCGTTACGGAAATATACGAGTACCATATATTGCTAAAATACAGTTCTTTTAAGCAATAAATATTAAGCCGTCAAGTTGTAACCTCAATTAGCACTAAGCGAGGAGGTCACATATGAGTCGTCTATTATCAAAGGTGGCAATCTGTGCATTTGGACAAAATATTTTTATTGATATGTCAATACAGATTGATTTGAATATAATCGTCTCCTTCAAAGAATACGGTTCAAAACCTTCACTAAATAAAGGTTAATAGTTAACCTGTTATTTATCTAAGATTTCGTTCCGAAGAGTTTTGTGACTGCCAATGGAATACAAAGTCAATAATTCGTTTTTCTGATTTACCAATCATTGTCCAAAAGTCAGATTGCCGGCTTTGATAATAGTCGACTCATATATTACACAGTACATTTTTGTCGGTAACGGTACAATGGTATAGTGGTAGGAAGGCGGTGTACCAACCATGGCTTATTCCATAGCGATCGGCCTGACCCGACCGGATGAAATCCATTTAAAATTAACACTAGTCCCAGTTTGTTAATCAATGTACATTTTAATTTGAAGAGGCCATAACTATATTGAAATGCGAAGAAATTTGAGTGAAACTCGCAACGAATAAAATCGTACTAGAAGTCCCGCAGTAGTCGAAATTCGACTATAATTAATTGGAATTGTAAGTTTGTACACTATTATGATTGTATTTTATACTTCTATAATCACCAATTTCTCCAAGACTACACTATAAAAAATATTAACAAAGACAAACAATATTTAATCTCAATTTGACAACAGACGTCAAGAACAAAAGTTTGACAATAAATAGTATGCATGCGTGTGTGCGTCAATTACATGGTATGTAGTGTGTGTAATGTTTTCTTTACTGATTTAATGTATCTTAAGTGCATTATTTAAAAAAAATATTAGCATTGTGCACTTCTTCTCTATATTCTCTATAAGTGTGGAAAATTTCATACTCCTCCGTTCGCGCAATTCTCGTAAAAAGGGATACAAAGTTTTTGCTTCACGTATTAATATATAGATTCTTTGGTACATTCGCGTAATAACATACATACGTCAAGGCGTCGGAGCGAAATATAACAAGATTGACACACGATTCGGATCCTCCCAATCCAGTATCGGTACTTTTATATACCTCAAGCACCGGTCACCGTTCTCGTCGAACCAGTCGCTTGCGATGACGGGTTCGGCGAGCAAACCAACCCTCAGACACACCGAGTTTCTCGCCGGATCTTCTCAGTGAGTTGCATTCCCGATCCGGTGGCAGATTCTGTGAAGTACTGCTTTTGCTAGGGCTAGTGTTAGCAACGTCCTCAGGTTAGAGCCCCGTGAGCTCATCTACTCTCCCGGTTAGGCTGGTTTAAGGCCCTATGTATACCAGCAAAGTCACAGGGGGAAATAGCCGGTTACCAACGTATGTAAGTAAGAAAGAATACAAAGGTCACAGCGGGAAATAGTCCACACTAATAATGTCGAATGGATTTCATAATATGTAAAAGCGAAGATGGCACGAAGCGCTTCTCTGAAATATATTCCATAATGTTTCTGTATATTGATTTGATATACGTTTTATATATACTAAAACGACCAACATAAATCTCTCTTCGTTAAACTTTCGACCCACAAAAAATCGTTAAAACATTTACAACTGACAATTTATCCATTACCAATGACAAATTCCAAATGACGGACATCAACACGTCCTTAAATCATCCTTAAATACGATATTAATGGCATTTTGACAACCATGGGCGGAGCGGAGGAAGCGACGTCTATTGATCTACGTGTGAAATTCTAAATATACCTGTAATTCAAACAAGGGAGTAACTTTAACTCGACTTACCCGGATCCCTATAAAATAAATAATTTGCGAGCTAAGAAGAAGCTAAGCTTCACTGTTTTTTGGAGATCATAACTTCGATTTGATTTAGTGTAAGAAAGAGATATAAAGGTATGTGGCGGATAGCCTTCATACAACCCAAGATATTTGACAGGTGCCTGACACTCACGCAGCATTCAAGCTCAGTCTCGATTCACCGTAGACTTCCAGCAGCACTTGCAAGCTAATCTCAGTATGGACAACGCTAACTAAATGACACGACCTCGTCTCGGAGGGGAAGCCATCATACGGCGTAAGATATTTGACAGATGCCTGAATCTCGCTTACGACTTTCAAGATAAGCTTACATATATTATACAAGTTCCTAACAACAACATTCGGACCGTCGGTCTGACGAGCAATATCACCCGCTCGGTGGAAGATCTTCCTTCCGTCGTCTAATCCTATACAGGTATACCAAAAAAACGATGTTCTATTAAAACACAAAATGCCAGCTCTGAACGCGTTAAGGTCTACATTGTAAACATTTGTGAAAACATCGGCATGCGAGAAACAAGTGACATTTTCTCTGTATTTACTAATGGCAGACGTAATCAAAAACTGTTGTATTGGTTACTTTCAGTTCCAATTCACGCTGGGGTTCTTTAGCTCGAGTTATAAGAGTGCCTATCATTGTTTTTGAATGTCATAACTTAAGCATCTTCACGTTGGATAGTCTATTACCATTGTATTTAAGTACCTCTTAGTGTACATTACTGATGGTTTGATTTTGTGTCAAACGAATATTACTTTAATTATTAGCATACCTTGAACAACCATGGTAGCAATTAATTATGCAATACCATAGACAACGCGAGTCACAGTTACGTCGTGCTTCTCTATGGTGTGA